GTACGTGACGTTTGAATCCAATTCATTATCCCATTAGAGTTTCTGACTACGTTTCAGGGGGCTGAGTGTAATTATCGATACCACAGGGACCTTACTGTTATTTAAGCTTACCTTAGGGGGGTGTGTGTAATTTACCCTATTATATTTTAATTGTTTCTAATAAAATATGAGTATTTTGATTTTGTGTGGTTTGTCTCTCCGGGCGGATACCCAACAATTTCTTCAACAACTTTTAGCCAAAAAAACCTAAGTGCGTATAACTCAAATTTGCTAGTTGTTTGTTGAGGCCATAATATCTCTACTTCATGTATTTATGAATTTGTGGACATAATTTTTTTTCTATTCACTTTTGAAGGACCCTTACTAATCTTGTAAACTGAAAGTGTCATTTCAACAAATTTCTTAGTAATTTACAAGGAATTGAAGATTGTTTGGTATTCATCTCTTAGGTAGTATATGAAATATCATACAAGTCCATCATTAAAATTAGGGTTAAATACAAAAACACCCCTGTACTATGGACTTTGTATCATTTACCCCCTGTACTACACATAAATACAAAAACCCCCCTCACATTGCATTTTTTCCAAAATATGACGAAAATACCCCTACTCAAGCATATATATATATATATATATATATATATATATATATATATATATATATATATATTTTTTTTTTTTCTTTTTAATTTTTTTTTCTGTGAGCCATTATCCACCATATATTTTACCATTTTCAGTCAATTTTACGTTGAAAATTTTGGTATTTATACTTTTTTCTCCAAAACATCTAATTGCTTACATTTTTTTTTCCTAAATAAAACCTTTTATTTTTGTCATTTTGAGTTTCTTCATTTTTTTTCTTAAATGTCTTCTGGTAGTTCAAACATCCTAAGATTACAAACATCTTTACAATCCTATTATTGTTGAGAATTTGAACTACCGGAAGACATTTAAGAAAATAAGAAGAAATTCAAAATGACAAAAATAAAAGGTTTTTATTCAGAAAATTTAAAAAAAAAATCTAAGTAATTAAATATCTTGAAGGAAAAAATAAAAAAATACAAATTTCCCAAGTAAAATTAACCGAAAATGTTAAAAAATATAGTGTAAAATGGCTCAAACAAACCCTTATATTTATAGGTTTAGCAGGGGTATTTTCGTCGTATTTTGGAAAAAATATAATAGCAAGGGGGTTTTTGTATTTATGTGTAGTAAAGGGGGATAAATGATACAAAGTCTATAGTACAGGGGTGTTTTTATATTTAACCCTTAAAATTAATAGTACAATATCAAGTACCGATGAAATCTCACCTCAAATAACGATAAACCTTATAACAGTACATTGATGCTGTTTGCATGTTAGCTTGTATGGAATTTGCAATACCAGATAATACGATATATACACAGTATTGAACAAAATATTCGATAAGCATACCGAAACCACTCCTAAAAATTTGAAGTATGAACAAATTATTGGTCGGTGTCACATAGCCGCCACCGTGTGCCCATGCTAGTCATGCTACTATTACTATAGACCACAAAATCCAAAAAACAAGAACAACATATCTTTATTTGTTTTTTTTTAAATAAAAATCAACGGTTTAGAAAACTTGCTTCCTTGGTCAAAAAAGCCGACGGATGGAATAAAGTAGGGTGAAATTGGACCCAACATAAACATATCGAAATTATAATTTTCGAATCAACTAAAAAAAATAAAAAATCACAAAAAAATAATTAAGATTTCTGCTCAAAAGATAAAATTCCAATTTAATAATGATTAAATTTAGCAAATCAACTGAAACGACCATACATTAATGACCACAATTTATTTTTTTTGTGTTAAATAATGAATTCCCCTATGGTATTTGTATTTTTGTATAAATATAATTAATATATATGTTATGTATATATATTTTTCGGTAAATTTTTGAACATTCAGAATTATTTTCTAAAATTAAAATGGGACCTAAAATCAAGTTTCCGGTTTTTTTATGTATAATAATAATAATAATAATAATAATAATAATAATAATAATAATAATAATAATAATAATAATAATAATAATAATAATAATAATAATAATAATAATAATAATAATAATAATAAAATAAAGACTTCCTATAATAAAAAATAAATAAATAAATAAAATTGGAACCTAACACATCCACTCTCATACAATAAAGCACATATGTTATGTGTAAGAATCTCAAATTAGAAATGTTGACATTTCATTTTTTCACTCCCAACTATGTCATGATTGTCAGAATGCATTTAAATATCAAAATAATTAAAAAAATAGGAGAATAAATATGACTTTTTTCTTTACTTTTTGGGTAAATTATGAAAACCTCCCTGAGCTTTGATTAAATTATGAAAAATGTCCCCGTCTATCCGTAATTACAAAAAAAAAAAAAACCTACGTTTGTTTCCTTCCTACACCTACACCTTATGGTGTGATTTTTCACGAAATCTTTTTTTTTTTTCGGGGAAATTTCCCGTAAAATGCCGATTCTAATGCAACATCACATTGCAATGTCACTACACTTTATGAATTGCTAGTATGAAGTATGAACCATCATATCATACACATATATTTTTTAAACATCTCTGCAAGACCTTCAATCACGTTTGTAGGGGTAAAATTGATATTTTTTGGAATATTCTCTCGAATAAAAAAAAATTCATGAAAAATCACTCTGCAAAAAGATCGGTGCAAGTCATAAACAAACGTGGTTAGATTTTCTTAATTACAAACATATGAGGGTATTTTTCATAATTTAACCTAAATTTAGAAATTTTTTGTAATTTACCGGTTCTTTTCGAATCGATGAACTTCAACCGAACCAATCCATTAATTGGTTCGATTTTTATTAGAAGAAAAACAGAGATCCAGATTTATTGGAATCACATCTGAACCAAGGGCAAAATCAATATCAAATTGATGATATACATTGGTCAATGTCTCAAATTAATAAAATATAACATAATTAGTAGTAAAACGTGCATAAATTAATATAATTATTGGGAAACCAATAATTAATTATATTAATGGAAGCTTCACATCTTCCCACAGCTCTCAGGTAGTAGTTGCAAACCTACCATTCCAACATTTTTCCATCCATCTACAACCCCTCTCTCTCTCCTCTCTCTCTTCTCTCTCTCTAGAAATATATATATACATATAATAATATATATATATACACACAACACTCTCTCTTCTCATAACTAAAAACCAGCTATTCTTCTCTCTCTCATCACCACTTGCACTTGCAGCAACGAATAACCTTTCTTCTCCAAAAAGATGGTGACTTTGAAAGCTACCCACACCGTCCGGCCATCGGAGCCGACGCCGGAGGAGATTATGTACCTGAACGCCTCCGATCAAATCAAAGACATAACCCACACGCCGACCATCTACTTCTACAGGCACTCCCCTTCTCTCGACGCCGCCGGAGATGCCGTTTCCAGGCTGAGAGACTCCCTCAGCAAAGCGTTGGTCCTGTTCTACCCGCTCGCCGGGCGGCTGAACTGGGCGGCGGAGGGCGGCAGCAGGGTCGAGCTCCACTGCAACGGCAAAGGCGTCCCGATTTTCGAGGCCGAGTCGGAGGCCGCGGTGGAGGATTTCGGCGACTTCACTCCCACTCCGGCGATCCAGGCCTTGATCCCGTCGGTGGATTACACCACCCCGATCGACGAGATCCCGATGGTGATTGTGCAGCTGACGAGGTTCAGCTGCGGCGGCGTTAGCATCGGGCTCGGAATATCCCATGTGATGGCTGACGGGCCGAGCGCTCTTCATTTTGTGGACGAGTGGGCCAAGATAGCCCGATCCATGGGGCCCATCGTCCCGCCGTTTCTGGACCGGACGGTTCTGGAAAACGGTTCTCCGCCGGCGAAACCCTTCGACCCGGCGGTTCTCCGGCCGCCGCCAACCCTGATCGGCCAGGAGGACAACATGGAGCAGAGGAAGAAGCCAATCACCGTGGCCTTCCTCAACCTCACCAAACTCCAAATCGAGAAGCTCCGCAACAAAGTCAACCTCGACTCCGACAAAAACAACTCCGGCGGCGGCCGCGGCTACAGCCGATTCGAAGCCGTCGCCGCCCACATCTGGCGGTGCACAAGCAAAGCCCGCGGCCACGTCAGCGACCAGCAAACAAGCCTCCACTTCGTCGCCGACTTCCGCAACAAACTCCAACCACCCCTCCCGAAGAACTTCTTCGGCAACGCGCTGATCCGCGTCGAAGCAACCGACACCTCCGGCAGCCTCCTGTCAAACACCATCGGCGCCGCCGCCAAGAAAATCCGAGAAGCCGTCGAAAAGGTCACCGACGAGACGGTCAGGGCTTACCTGGAGTACCTGAAAGGTCTGCCGGACGTGGGCCGGTTCAGGTCACTAGACAACTCGGGCCGGCCGAAGGGAGACTTCTACGGAAACCCGAACCTTGCTATCATAAGCTGGACGGCGCTGCCGCTATACGGCGCCGATTTCGGGTGGGGGAAAGAGATTCACATGGGGCCCGGTTCAATGGGGTTCGACGGGAAAACATTCCTTATACCCAGCCATGAAGGAGACGGTTCATTCAATATTGCCATTTGGTTGCAAGAAGAACATATTTCCGCCTTCAAGAAATGCCTTTACAATGATATTTAATTAATTAATTATTAATTATTATTATTATTAGTTATTACAGTTTTTTTTTTTCTCTGGTTCAACTGTGGGAGAAGAAGATGCTGTTTTTTATTATTATTATTTTTTATTTTTGAATTTTTTTTGGGGGGGTTTTTTAGATCTGCAGCTGTGTACTTTTATTAGTTATGAATTTAAATGGCCTTTTTTACGATAAAAAGAACTTGATAATTAGTTATGCTTTTTATTTATTTATGTGTTGCCTGGTTAATTAAATATTTAATTTGGTCCTTTTGTCTTGGACAAAGTTGTTGTAACGTGTAATTGAAATAGTTTTGGTTCACTTTCTCGTATTGTTGTATACATTGTTAACTTTTAATTGCTTTAGGGGTTAGTTTGTGAGCTTTGTTAATTTTATCTACAACAATTATTAATAAAGGTAAATTACGGCCCCTGAGTTAAGATTAATTTACGAAAAATTTTAGGCTGCGCTATGTACAATACTAATTCTACTTGTCTAAGACCAAATTAAATAAATATTCTAAAAGATTCTATTTCATTAAGATGAAATGACAAATATACCCATAAATTAAATTGACTTTTTTTTTTCTCATGCAAGACCAAATACAAATAATGAGGAAAAGAAACAAAAAAAAAAAAAAAAACAAAAAAAAAACAAAAAATAGATGTGTGAATTAAAAAAACAAACAGCCCCCTCCTCAAACCCTACACACGCCCAGCTTCTCCACCTACGCCCATCTTCTCTACCGTCAAAGCTCCGCCGCCCAAGCTCCACCACCTACGCCCACTTTCCTCATTTTGTTCAATCTTACAAAAAAAGATGAAAAACAAATTAAATTTGAAACTGGTAAAAATCGACATCAAGGTGTCGAAAAACTGTGCTACAAATCGACACTTAAGCGTCGAATTTTATGGGTAAAAATAGACATTAACATGTCGAATTTATAGCACAAATTCGACATTGCCAAATGTCGAATTGTATGCCTCAAAATCGATATCTAAATGTCGATTTTTACCCATAAAATTCGACCTGTACATGTCGAATTCGTTTGCGCGGGATTTTTTTTGGAAAAACGATATTCTAGCTAAAAAACCCATAAATGCATACATTCTTGGATTCTTTCACCGTAGAATCTTCTATTTTGATGTCTTATGACTCCATACTTGCCATCTTTGTAAGATTTGTTGAGTTTTGATGATTTTGAATGTACAGGTTTTGTGGATTTTATGGAGGAGGAAGGAGAAATGTCTTGTGGGTTTTTGGAAGATGGAGAAGATGAAAGTTGGTCTTGTGGTCTTGTGATAGGATTTTTTGTGTTTTTGAATTTTTGGTCTTGCGTATTTGAAATTTTCTATTTTTTTAACAAGTAAAGGTATTATAGTATTTATACATTAAAAATTTTAATTTGGTCTTGCACAAGTGGTTTTAGTCTTGCATATAGTCGCAGCTAAAAATTTATTATGTTTTGGTAATTACAATCATCCTCTCAACTATAAACTTTTTATACCTCCACCATTGTGTAGTCAAATTTAGTGGAATTTTCTTGATTACGTGGAATATTCTTATTTTTTACCGTTTGACCCGTTAGAGCTCCACATTTTGAAACAAGATGATCGATCATAAGATGTGTCTCTCGGCTTGTAAATATTAAATTGTGGTGCATCAGAAATTGCATTAATTTTGCACAAAATGAGTACGAACTAGAAAACATTCCACAGAATCTAGAAACATTATGTTGAATTTGACACCTTATGGATGAACGTGTAAGAAGATTTATAGTTGATGGGAGTGATTATAATTATCCAAATATGAGAAATTTTTCGTAATTTAACCTTACTTCAAGGGTTTTCATAATTTACCCTATTAATAAGTATGAAAATGAAAATGAGGACGTGCAAGATGGTCATAATATATTTAATAGTAATTTATAGCAAATAAAATTATAAAGTGTGGAACATTTAATATATTTAGGGACTATTAGCTAGTTTTACAATAATATTTAGGGTAAATTACACCTACATCATTGACATATAATAAAATAACTTTAAGGTTCCTATAATATCAGTAATTACAATCACCCTTAAAATAACTTTAAGGTTCCTATAGGCTAGCAGTCGTAGAGACAACATAGAGTTAGGTGGTGACACGACTCTCCTAACATTTCTTAAATCCTTATTATTTTATATAAGATTTATAAATTTTCATCTACGGTAGCAGTAACGGCCCGCATGAAACAAATATAGTGTATATTGGTCTCCATGACATGAGATCCTTGCTCCAATGATTGTTTCAAGAGTATGGTTGTAATTACCAACATCACAAGGACTTTAAAATTATTTTAACATACATAAGAGGTGTAGCTATAATTTACCCAAATATTTATAGGTACATATTGGAAATTCAGAAATTTTAACTACTCAATTGAAGTCAAAATTATAAAATCTATATATTATTTATAGTCGTTGGCTTTTAAATCATGGACAACACCAAGTGGGGTCCCGCCGTCCAACATCACTGTAGTCTGTATACACAACCTTGAATAGTACAATTAATAATATTATCTTATATTAATTGCATAGTTTGGTATTAAATGATCACGTGACAACTAATTTTGGGGTCATGAGTTTGGGGAAAAAGAAAACATATTATAAAATATATAATGGCCCGTAATTTGTAAGAAAAAAATATATTATAACGCGTCTTTAGATGGAGTACTTAAAAGTTAAAACATTTTTTTTGTGTGTTTTCTTTCTTTATAGTGATATGAAAAATAATCTAAATACTGAAACGATAAATGCAGAACGACTTTCAGTATATACAGGACCTTTTTCTAATTTGGACCTCTCCTACTCGATGTATCGTTCAATTTTAACAGAAACCAACGAATTGAAAGATGTACTCCAGTCTTTCTCATGTAATTACATTCATATGATAGTTGTTTTGTAGTTACTGTTACATATAATTTGTTGTTTAAATTGAAGTTAGGGTTTGTGTTTTAGATTTGAATTGGAAAAAAAAAAACTCGATAAACATTAAATCATAAATATATGTCGTAAATATGATTACTGATGCTTGTAGTTAGAAATCTGCGTTGTAAATTTTAATATGTTCGATTAAAATAATGAATTGTAATTTCAGTAAAATAATGCATGATTTTTTGAAGTCTTAATTGCACTTTTCGGAGTGTTCAAGATTCAAATATAAAATTTCTTTTGAATTATGATGATTGAAGAAAGCAACAAACAAAATTTGTGCAAAATATTGATCGCTCTGAATAAATTCTTTATCCAGATAGACTTCATTTGATGAAAAAAAAAAATTAGAATGTTTACGAGGTGCAAATCATTGAAGTGGGTGATTAATAGTTAAAATCTTAGAATTTAAAAGAAAAATATTTTATATTTACTAAATCTCGTTCTACATTATCAAGTCCGGATATGCGGGCTCAACAGTGATCAATTTGATAATAATAGGGAAAATTGCACGTCACCTCCTGTAAATTTCTAATTTTCGCACTTTAACCTCTCAATTTTTTTAAAAGTGAATGTCCCCCTTCAAAATGTTATTCGTGTTGCACATGGCCCCGATAGCAAAACTACGATGGATAATTCACCGCAATTGAGTATTTTTTAAATGTTATTTTTTGTTGCAAGTTGCCCCTTAAAAATACTATTTTTTTACACGTTGCCCCTTCAAAACATTATTTTTGTTGCACAATGCCCTCAAAAGTTGGCTTTTGGGGCGGAGTGCAACCAAAATAGTATTCCGAAGGGATAGTATCCTTTTTTTTAAATTATTAGGGGGTAAAGTGAAAAAAATGGAAAATTTATAGAGGCTGAACTGCATTTTGTCCATAATAATATAATGCGAGTTTATATAGGGCCGGGCCGAGCCGGGCCGGATATATATTCATTACAAATGGGTGTTTACAAATCCGTACAAAAACAAGAAATGAAGTACCAAGCTGGAGATTTTGGGGTTTATGCCTTTATGGCCAAAGTGGCGACTGCTCATAATCTTGCGAAATGGGCGTTTTGTTCTTCGTGGCCTCACTTATTTTGTCTTTTCTTTAATATAATATCTTTTTCTATAAAATTAAATTAAATTAAAAAAAAAAAAAGTACCAAGTTGGGCTGCCAATCTGAGTATGGAAGCACAACTGCAGATTTTGTGTACCCATTTGATGAATAACCACTTTTCCCACCACTCGTTCAAATTCGAATACGTGGAGTGTTAAATACCGATCGACAATCTATGATACAATTACCGGCTCTTGAGCTCAAATTCGAATACGTGGAGCTAGTTTTTAGTTGTTCTTGAGCTCACACCGGCTCACGAGCCTTATTTATTATTATTTTTTATAAATATATTAATGCACAAGACCGTTCTCGTGTGCAACAACTCGCAGATCATACGAGAGATGTAAATCACACAAGACTAACGATGTGTGATGATGGTTTCGACCTAAAAAATATCGACAAAGACAAGATTCTAACTTATCAATCAAATAACAATATATACTTTTCTTTTTCGATGAACAAAATCACGCACCGCGGATTTTTTTATTTATTGATTTCATGTGAACTTAGATTGAAAATACCGTGTATATCCTCCAGTTCATCCACCCTCAAAACCTACACTCACTTGCAAAAATGACGTTTCTTTCACTCATCCGCCTCTCTCTATCAGTCTCCTGCTGTCTACCACCTAATTTCCACCAACCACACCGCTGATAAATAGTCTCAGTTCTTCTTTCCAATTTTAGATGTCCAAATTCTCCAACCAAGTTATTCATTTTCAAACTAAACTCTCCAACTAATTAGCTATCTATTTTCAGGCTAAACTTTTTAACTAAATTGTCTATTTTCAATTTCATTCGAAGCTGTCCAACTACACTGCGCGAAGAACTTCAAGCAAATCCGATATATGCATCCAAACCGACTATTAATTATACAAAATATTTTTGAAGGAGTTTTAACCAATTTTTCCTTTTTTAAAATTGAATCAAAAAGTTATATTACTTTATAGTTATGAAGTATGAGCTACCCTCTCTAGCCATTAGAGGGCATACTAATGGGATTTGTAGTATGTTAATTAAGTGAACCTTGCCAAATCTAGTATTGTACAAAGTACACTAAAAATATATATTATGTGAACACATTAATGATGGCTAGCTCTCTTGATGACTATATAATTTAATTTGTTGCCCCCCAATTAAATCCTTGTATGGTTACATAATTGAGTTGAAAAGTGATTTTATTCATAAAAAATAGAAAAATTGAAATTATATGCGTCACACCAAAAATTAATTATAAAATTTTATTCGTTATTCATTAATGGGCTTGACATTGATACGTCGTCGTTGGCCATAAAAGCTGTGGCTTACTCTTGTCACAACAGCTTTCACTACATTGGGCTACATGTCACATATTATAATTGTTCTCCACCTAATTATCTTATCTTGTAAGTTGTGAGAGAGACATATATAATTATTCACATCAACTTTCATGATTTCTTTTTTCCTTTTTGAAATCACCTATCAATTATTGTTTTTAAGAAAGCAATACTGAGTACTTAGTTAGGGGTGAAAATTGGAACGAGATTTTCGGATATCGGCGATTCAATTTTGAAACAATATTTTCATTTTGAATTTTGAAAGTTCTGATTCCGATTTTGAGAGCAGCACGAGGAACAAAGAAAACACTTTGATTTGGACGCAAATAATTCCTTGAAGAAATAATTAAGTTAGAAAAATATTTAACTTTGAATTTTAAACGGTAAGAGAACTATGTAGACGTTGATGATTTCGTACCGAATACATAGACAACGTTATTTTAAAGGAGCATTTAGGGGTAAAAATTAGAAACGGGTTATCAAATTTTGGCGAATCGATTTTGAAACAATATATTTTATTTCGAATTCCAAAAGTTTTGATTCCGGTTTTGAAAGCAACACAAGGAAAATTCAATTATTGTTTGCAAGGAGTACGTACTTAGGGGTGAAAATTGGAACATAATTTTCGAATTTCACCAGTTCGATTGTGAAACAATATTTTCATTATGAATTCCAAAAGTTATGATTCCAATTTTTCCGATTTTTTTTTTTTGGAAGTTTAATTGAATACATATTAGATTCTAAATTCCATATGGATTTTAATTTCTGAAAAATCTTTTTTTTTTTTCAATAAAGACTTTATTCTTTTCTTTTCATATTATTGAGTTATCTCAAATTTATATATTTTTACTATTTTACATTTTATTACTACCATATTCATTGAATAAAAAAAACATATATAGTTAATATGAGAGTAAATAACAATTAGCATCAAAATACCGAAATTATACAGACAAGGATCTCGAGATAATCGAAATCTACGCGCGATTGTTCGGAAAAAACAAACCAGAAATACACGAAAATTCTTAGCAACATCGCCCAGGTCCCAGGATCTCAATAACACCATTTAATTATGATAATCTTGTCATTAGTGTATGTCATTTTCTTATTTAATTCTGACCAGCAATTTAAGACTTCAATCATTGAGTTCAATAACAAGAGTTGTTAATACTTAATACATCATTGTGCCTAACACGATTCATTACTTATAATGTAACAATAGTATCCCTTTTTTTAATTATTATTTATTGCATCTTATAATCTATTTTCCTTCAAATTAAATTAAATCTAGAAGACTCAAAAAAAGAGTGTCGGAGAAGGGTTTTTCGGCATCAGCACTCCAATGGTTAAGTTAGTTGGATAGAGTGAAAACCGATATATCTCTTAGATAGGTAAGGAACGCTGTATTGAATTCAATATATCAAGAGAATGGATATGTTTTTTCTTGTGTTCCACGGTTTTTATTTATACATGCCATGGTGATGGGTCTGGTGGGGCCCTTGTCTTATCAAAACCATGATACATGCACAGTGTGGTGTAACTTGTTGCGAGCTCATTTTACCTACTGAAGAACGATTTGCTTCGTTTTGCTGCGACTTGAGTGAGTCAGTTTGCCGTTGCTCACTAGTAGAAAAATGATTTTTTTTGCTACGGTAAATCTTAGTATTCACTACGATTTCAAAATTGTTCCGTAGTAAAAAATACCTTTTATTACGGCTTTTTACCGTAGCAAACAATTTCGTAGTAAAAATCAAATTTTCTACTAGTGACTCTTAATTGCCGTAAACGAGCTTGTTGTTGATTGGTGGGTCTCTTTTCAATCTAAGTCACGACCTTTCCGCCCATGTTTCTGACATTGGGTCTAATGTAGTCACATCTAGTACTTACACATGCACTATGTAAGATATTTAGTAGGCTTTAACAGTTGTATTGGGTGAGACGACTTCGAGCGTGGGCCGCCCTTAGGCTTGGAATATTATGTATTTGGTATTATACTGTATCTATATGTACTCTTATTTTATAAATATTGTATGTATCTTATGAACTTACTACTACTAATAAAACTCTAACTTTCTATGATGAATGGTGTATACAATCAAGAATTCTCTATGAGAAAAGACAAATTTATAACAACTTCTTCAAATAGAATATAACTACGTCGTCATAAATATTCAACTACAGCTTTCTGACCACGAAAATATCTCCATTCCTTATCCATAAGACGTTACACTTTTAATTTTTATTTCATTAAATGAGTAATAGATAATGATGTATCTCTATTTTATTGAACTTGAAAAAAATGAAGTTATGTTCAAATAAATTTTCAAATCTAACAACAAAATTGTCCTCAAGAGACAAAAATCCTCATCAAACGAGTAGTTGTTTTCTTACCTTATTGAGGTGAAAAATACATTATATGAAAAAAAAAAAAAAAAAAAAAAAATTCTTCAATATTAGAAACTGCAATTTGAATTGCACATAAATTAAAGTTTCAACAAATTCCTACGTAATAGGTATTACATAGACCACCGTCAATTAATAATTATCCAAAATTCAAGTTAAAGACGCAAAAAACCCAATTTTTATTAATTAATTTACGTAAAATCCAAGTTAATGTAAAAAAAGCCTAAACTTTTATTAATTAGCCCACCCATATTCAAATTAATGCAAAGACCCTCTATTTTTTTTTATTTTTTTTGCTTTTCCTATTTTTTAATTTTATCTCAAAAAATTCCTAATCTTTTTAGAGATGCTGCTTCTAAACCATTGAAAATTTGAACACACCATGTAACAAATTTTTGGACTCATTACTGATTACATATATCTATTAATTTATTTTCAATCCAATTTTATTTAAATAATAATACATGTGATAATTATGTGTTGAAATATACAAATTTTTTGAAAATATCAAAATATTGTATCAATCATGGATTGAATGTTTGATACTCAATTTTAATTCCTACCAATTGAATAAAGTTAGCTCTAATTTCCCAAAACTTCTTCAAATTCCCTCTTATCATCATCAACTTATTTATTTATTCAAAAAAGAAAAATTGCAAGAATTTTTCATCATCAACTTTCTCATCACCACGTTATTTTTCCTACTTTATAACTATTACACAATATAATGGAAAGTTCAAAAAAAAAATATTATATATTTCTTCAAAAAAAAAAAACAACATATTGATTTATCCTTTTAGAATTTAGACAACGAAAAATAAATAATAAATAATAAATAATATATAAATTCAAATACCATCATACAAGAAGTTCTTGAAAGCCCCCATATACTCCTCCTGCAACCATATAGCTACGTTAAACGACCCGTTTCCTTCCCGGGTCGGAATAATGAATGTTTTCCCGTCGAACCCCATCGGACCCGGTCCTAAATGGATCTCATTCCCCCACCCGAAATCCGCCCCGTATAGCGGCAGTGACATCCAGCTTATGATTGCTAAATTCGGATTTCCGTAGAAATCTCCCTTCGGCCGGCCGGAGTTGTCTAGTGATCGGAATCGGCCAACGTCCGGCAGCTCCTTGAGGTAGTCTAGGTAGGCTCTCACTGTATCCTCGGTGACTTTTTCGACGGCTTCCCGGATTTTCCTGGAGGCGGCGCCGATGGGGTTCAATAGGAGGCTGCCGGAGGTGTCGGTGGCTTCGACGCGGATTAGCGCGTTGCCGAAGTAGTTCTTCGGGAGGGGTGGTTGGAGTTTGTTGCGGAAGTCGGCGACGAAGTGGAGGCTTGTTTGTTGTTCGGCGACGTGGCCGCGGGCTTTGCTTGTGCACCGCCAGATGTGGGCGGCGACGGCCTCGAATCTTGAGTACCCGCGTCCGCCGGAGTTTTCGTAGTCGAAGTCGAGGTTGGCTTTGTTGCGGAGCTTCTCGATTTGGAGTTTGGTTAGGGTGAGGAAGGCTACGCCGATCGGCTTCTTCCTCTGCTCCAGGCTGCTGTCGTCCTCCCCGACCAACGTCGGGGGGCGGCGGAGCACCGCCGGGTCGAATTTGACGGCCGGAGCCTTCTCCGGCGGTGTCTCCAGCACTTTCCGGTCGAGGAACGGCGGCACCGCCGGGCCGACGCCGCGGGCGAATTTCGTCCACTCGTCCACGAAGTGGAGGGCGCTCGGCCCGTCGGCCATGACGTGTGAAATCCCGAGCCCGACACTAACGCCGCCGCACCGGAAACGAGTGAGCTGGACTATAACCAGAGGAATCTCGTCGATCGGGGTGGTGTAATCCACCGACGGTATCAAGGCCTGGATCGCCGCCGTCGGCGTGAAGTCACCGAAATCCTCCACCGCCGCGTCGGACTCGGCTTCGAAGAGTGGGACCCCCTTCCCGTTGCAGTGGAGCTCCACCCTGCTGCCGCCCTCCGCCGCCCAGTTGAGGCGGCCGGCGAGCGGGTAAAACAGGAACAGAGCTTTGCTCAGAGAATCCCTCAATATCGAAACGGCGTCGTTTTCAGAATCCAAAGCTTCAGAATTCTTGTAGAAGTAAATAGTTGGCGTGTGTGTTATGTCTTTGATTTGATCACAAGAGTTTATGTACATAATCTCCTCCGGCGTCGGCTCCGCCGGCCGGACTGTGTGAGTAGCCTTCACCGTCACCATTTTCTCTCTCTAGAATTCAAATTCAAGAATTGGGATTGGGGGGGTGGGGGGTGATGAATATTATTTGATGGGAAAAATACAGAATTTATAGAGGAAGAAAATTCATTTAAGTTTGATTTAATTTAATTTGGTTGTGACTTAAGACTCATGAGGATTGATTGGTATGTTCCCACTTGTATTTTTAATTTTATTATTATTAATTTTTTTTTAATAAGGAGTAGACTTGATGAACAACGATTTGCCAGCTTCCACAAATTGACCAATATAATTTGGCATCAAACGCGTAATGATTTTATACAATAAGAAAAAAAAATATTGTAGTAAGTAGTGTAATGCATGTTCATTACATCTCAAGTAGTGATCAAAACATGTTTAACTATTTTTTTTAATGCTAATGATTAATCTTGTAACAACTATTAATCTTATATTATAACAAATTTTAATATGATGAGTGTTTAACCAATTGAGCTTATGCTTCAAGGCTAAACAATTATATATCTTGTGTGTGTATATATACCACAGAATCTCGATTAGTTAATTGCATCGTTTAAATAATAATTTTTTTTTTCAGTCCTGATTCGATAAAAATGTACTGAATTATTGGTTCGATAATTTAATATTTCACTAAATTAATAGAGTTTTGCTAGTTCAAACTGTATTAATTTATAGAAATTCAACTGTATTTATATTTGATAAGAAATTTTGGATAATATGAGAGTTTACTATTTTTCTTCCTCTATCTTTTCCTTTTCATTTTCCCTTTCAATTTGCATTGAATTTGAAGAATATTTTAAATTGGTCAAAAGAAAAAGAAAATGATTTTTAATTGTGTACAAGACATGACGAATGCTTTATATTGGTGAGGAAGTTGGTGAAGAAAATTCAAATGCTAAAAAGTCAAATTAAAGATGTGACAAATAGCGCATATATAATTATTAAAATATACCACCTAATTAAATGAAATGAGTTATACTTATCATCTCTTAAGTAATTAACGACCAAACAATCCACTAATAGGTGCAGTTCAAATGCATTAAAAAATAATTTAATTATGGGAATTAGATAGCAATGTAAACGAGGTGGCCGATTAAGTTGAAGACACATTTGACACTCCACTTTTGAGGTTTGAGTGTGTGTGTGTATGATATATCTATAGTTTTATTTAATATATTAAGTTGTCGTGTCGCAGTTAAGATAAAATTAAATAATCGAATGAAAAAAACTAAATTATTTTATCAAGATATTCAACTGGAAAGCTTTCTAAAAGACAAGATATAACAAGATAAACCATGGTACCATAATATTTTGTGGGTCGACCGAACAAGTTAATCCCAAACATCAAATAAAATCTAGTTATTTAGTTAATCGTAGCTAATCTGCTAGCCGAATGGAGTTAAAAGTATAGATATATCATATACACACACTTTTGAGATTTGAGTGTGTGCATTTATTAAATATGTTTGTTGGTTACGTTGACCAAATCAAGGTAATTAATTAAGGAGAAATGTTTTGTGGGACTATATGATATGGTTTAATGTGAATTCTAAGACAATTCATGAGTTTGTACAGACGACATATAGTTAGTTGCCTTGTTAGACTAGAAGAGGTCAATGCCTCTCAACAACTTCTACCTTCCAAGTAATAGACTAGGGATGGCAACGGGTCGGTTCTGGGCCGGGTTTGCCTAAACCCAAGACCCGACCCACGAAAAATTTATAAACCCAAGACCCGCCCCAACCCGTTTTAGCTTAGACCCAGACCCGCCCCAACCCAGACCCTAACTAAACGGTTCTGACCCGCCAGACCCGTTAACATACAAAAAGTTTAATATTTTTTAACTTTCATAACATTTTGCTTGTATATTTTTACGAAATAATCTCAATACTAAAATACAATATTTTAAAAAATCTCTACAAGTGATATAACATGAACAATACAATTACAATTAATTATATGTAACTTCGATAATAAGTAAAATTCAAAATGCAAGACAATTAGCGGTGGTCGACAAGTGATAAATATTAATAATGAGAAATGAGATTCGAAAAATAAAACAGCGAAAATAGGCAAAATGAGAATAGATAAAATGGAAATTGATAGTTTGATAAATGAAATCCGAAATTATGTGTATATATATATATATATATATATATATATATATATATATATATATATATATATATATATATATATATATATATATATATATATG